AAAAAATAAATAAATAAATAAAAAAAAAAAAATTAAAAACAAAACAGAATAATAAGAATAAGTTTATTTAAATAAAAAAAAAGCAGCTTAACTTCGGTAGTTTTTAATATGCGACGCCATACTTAACATGATATTACGTGTTTTTATTACTTCAAGGCATTAACTACATTTGGCTGTTCCATTAATCAAGTCAGAATAATACGTTTTCGCCATATTCAAGTTTTGTACATCCGCAATTGGTTCATTTATAACAGGAGAGACAAACGAAAATATATCAAAAATATCGAAGAAATACTTTAATGTGAGCAACACAATATTTTCATACAAAGAAAAAAACAAAACATTTTTTTTTTTTATTATTTCGATATATTGATATATACTGAGAGCACTGATGTTATCGGATTCAGAAGCATAAAGCTCAATATAATTCTCAGTAGTTCACTCTGACTCATCCTGCTGCCCAAAGCACTGAAACGGTACCTGAAAGAACTACGTTATACTAAGAACTAAAGACGGTATTTTAAAGCCGTACTCAGTCTCTGAGAAATTTCTGATAAATTTCAGCTACATTCCAGCTTACACACTTATGTAGGCCTGTGTAAGAGCTTGTTTATGTCTATATACATATATTTCATTAAATTATGCAACATCTCTATTTATATACCAAATATTTGCCACTGTTTAGTGCCGTTGGAAACGCATCCAACCATTTGGTCTGAGCCAATTAAAATTTAATAAGCCTGTGCATTCACATCAATAATTCGCAATGTTTGTGTGTGTTATTTTTTTCTGTTTTCCCTTATTTAAATATAATTTTTTTAATCGAATTAGTATACATAGGTCTGCGCATGATGCGTATTGCAAATGGTTTGCAGACTTTTTTTTAGAAAATACAATTTTTCTGTGTTGATTTAAGGCAATTTGAAAAGTTTCATGTCAAATGCTTCTAAATGAGGTTGATGCGACACCCTTTGGGAATGCTGTTGGCATTCGGGCATTTCGCTGAAAGTCAACTTGATATATGGGCTAATGATGTTGACGAGAGTGGGAGAGGGAGAGGGAGAGTGAGAATGAGAGGGAGAGCGAGGGGGGTGGTAGATTGTGAGTGAACAGAGAAACACCTTTGCTAACAATGGCGCCTTTGTTCTTGCCTAACCGTGTTGGTTTTGTCGAGCACTGCGGCAACCTGGACAGATTGCAACCGACTGCCGTGGCAACAACACCAAACACCCTCGGGCTACGTTTGAGGTGCTCATGAATATATCATGACAATATTGAGCCAATGCGAGGCAGAAGAAGAAGCGGGTAAAAGAAGCTGATGCCTTGAGAGACCCGTCCAAGTCGGTTTATCAATACATTTGAACAATGCAGTTTGATGTTGTTATATCAACTCAATGCCTCAATAACTTTCAATTGCCAGACAGCTGTTGGACATGGTCGGGCCGATTACCTCAGCTGTATGTATGAATAAACTTCATATCTGAAATTTACAGAGAGTGCCCGAGGCTGCGAAGCTACATTAATTGAAACTGAATTTCCATTGCAGAGCTCACACACAGTCTCAAATTTATGCCAGCTGCAGAAATTCCATCCAGAAGGCATTAAGGTTTACTACATATCAAAATCAATAGCCACTGCGAGTGCTGTATTAATTAAGGACCTCAGCGTAGCTAAATGCTCAATATAATATTTCAGGTAGAAGCAGCCTGACGAAATGCAATCGACATCGGATATGTAATGGCAAGGCATTCTCAGCAGGCAAACATTCATTGAATTTCAATGAGCCAACTATCCATATTATTTGAAGAATATTAGTTGGCTCTTCAGCTCATTTTCAGGCCTAGTAGGTTCGAATAGCTTTAGCTAATATATCTGATATATAAAGGTATACTAAATTTGGTCAGAGTTTAAGCACAAAATTTCAAGCTGAAACAAAGTTTAGCCTTCTCATATCATAAACTATTTTCAATTTTAGTGCAGGTATACAAAAGTCGTATACTCCCCTCAAATATTTTTTTTTTCTTCCTATTTGCTGTTGCCTTAAATTAATTCTAAAATTGCTAGCAACTGCCACATAAAATGTAGAAACACTGAAAAGAACTTCAGGAGGGCCATTGATTCGTGCACTGGAATGCCATTCAGGCAACGAGAGTATATCAAATGTCAATGTCTGTGGAACAGTTAAAGAATACGTGAATAAAATTTGCCTAATGACTTATGACTGCGCTTATCGATAAGATAATCGATAACAATTACTTAGCCCAGTCACTAAGACTATCAAAGTGTGCTTATTAGAAAGTCACATCTTTCCAAGTAATATGCAATTGCATATTGAATGTACATTAAAGAACTATCGATCAGTTAATCGATAACAGCTACTCCTATTAATAGTCTCATACTCTACTGTGCCTCCTATTCAAAGTGGGCTTATTAGAAACTCACATCATTTCGTATATCTTTCGAAGTTATATATATACTGCAGTTGGTATGTAAATTGAAGAGCTATCGACTAACTCGTATATAGCTGTTTAACTGTACTAGCTCGATAGGCTTTTCTATATATTTTAAGATATTTTAATGTGTATATTGAAAAATAAAATATCGATTACCTTATATATCGATAGTTTTTTAATAATAGATTTCACTTGTTTTCTACAATTGATGTAGAGCCGCAACCTCTCGGCCCGGTAGCGGGCTGAGTCATATGCATATTGCCTGCTTAGCTAGCGCTGCCTATCGAGCATCCTCAGCTCAGCACCCTCTCCTCTCAGCTACGCTCTTGAATTAACGTAATTACGTATTACAGCTGCAACAGTCATTCAATATCTGCATTCGATGCAGCATACCATGGACTGTCATGCTTATATAATAATATTCATTTACCGTGATTTTACTTATGGCCAGCGTTGCCAGAGTATTCAATTTCTTCGCATAATACTGCAACTACCATATGCATAAATATCTCTCTGTGTGAGTGTGTGTGTGTGTGTGTGTCTTACACAGGATGCTTCAATTGGATGCTTGCAATCAACTTACAATACCATCTGAATACATTCGGTGCATTCGTTCTCATTAGTGTAGCTGCAGCACCGGCAATTCTTGATATTGCCCGGGTAACGGAAGGACAGCTGAGCATTAAGAGCTCGTAAGCCAGCATGCATATCAATTAGCAATGTGATTCGCAGTGATTCAGGGTCAGAGTTCACGCCGCACACTTTCACTGCACCGTCCTCCCGCTCTACCCAAAAACTCTTGCTCTTAATTATAAAGCCTGTAACTGTGCCACGAAAACCGAAATTGAAAAAAAAAAGAACGCAAAGCCCGAGGAAATAGAAAAACAGCCAGGTGAGAGTGTGCTAATTGAGTGCACCCGACTAGGAAATACCCTGAAAGCTATTAAGGGTTTGCTTTGAGCTCTTTTGTTTGTGTGGTGAGCAGGATGGGGAATCACTTGGTAGTAAATAATAGTGGGGTTTCTATTTTTCGAGTGAAATACTATGCCTCGTATGGGGTATGCACGACTAAATATGGAGTTTGGACTGTACAAAGAAATTTTTAGTCAATTTTCAAGTCACGTTCGACGATGATTAGTAAGATTTCTCGAATGAGCTACGCCTTCTACTGACTATATATACTACTACTACTCCTACTACTTCAAACCAATATACCCTACACATATGCTTGTTCGATGTGTTCACAACTTTCAGCCAGTTCGTAGCTAAAAAATTATTATTTTTATTATTTATTTACTTATTTTTTTGTTGGCACAAACTAAGCCCAAGGCCAACAGCATCTGGTGCAAAGTGAGAAGCGAAGAGGAAGGCGTCAGGTGTTGCGTCTTGTGCAACGTGCAGAAGTTTTTTTTTTTTGGTTTTGTTTTTGTTTTTTTTTGGCGTAGAACGTTCGGCAAATGTTGTCTGACTACATGTTGCTGGCTCACGGGGCTGATGGCAAGTTTTCTGATGCCTGAGCATGTGGCATGTGGCGTGTGGCATGTGGCATGTGGCATGTGCCATGTGGCGCACAGCAAAAGGGGGCAGCACTTTAACAACAGTTTGCAGCAGCGCACAAAGTTTGCACAGAGTTTCCACAGTGCGACAGTGTTTTCACTTAAAGCGAACATTTGCAATTGCAACTCCGATTGGGAAAGTTTGTTGATATTTATGGGATTTGATAAACATACATATACATATATATAGATAAACATACATACATATATTTAGGTCATGGGTCTTGATTGATGGCAAAGTAGATACAAAATTCGCTTGCATCGATAACTGCCAGCAATCACAACAACTTGGCCAACTCTTAATGAGATTCTCGAAGTCTCGAATCTTATCTCTCAGTTGAAGCGTTCGAATGATGAAATTTATTTAGGTCAATGAGTGCGGATGAATGGAAATGTGTTTGGAGGAAGTGTCTTTAATAGAAGTCAAGCCAATAGATTTCTTGCTTTAATCGATATATATCGATAACTGACAGACTAAATAAAAAACTATTTTGCAGTTTTAAAGAGGATTCTCATACTGAATCTTATCTTTCTCTGTTGATGGCTGGGGTATAATTGGATTTTAAAGGAAATCGATCTAATGGATTCCCTGCATACATCCATATATATCGATAGCTATTAAAGCACACAAAATGAAAACAATGTAACCGAGTTATAAATCGATTATCGAATAGAAACTTATACCTCCGAGTGCAGCTCCTGATTGCTGAAATATATAAACCTTAAATTGTATACATCGATATATATCGATAGTCAAAACAACCTCACCAAGTTTCAAGTCCCGACTTAAGTCTTATCTATCTGTAAAGCTCATGAAGAGCTTTTCGCTTTTAGTTAGTTGAACAAGTTGCCTGAAATTCTGTTGAAGTTCCAACGGAAAGAGTTTGAGTTGAGTTACAGTTGCAATCAAGAGCAATGCAATGAGCAATGCAATGAAATCACAGCAACAACAACAACAAAAACAAACAATATTTGTGTTCCATGTAGCCAGAGGAAGCCCAGCGGAGCCCCGAGCAGGAGCCCCGAGCCGAGTGCAAATCGTGACCACCTAATCAGGCAGCAAACAATAGCCCAACGCAATGTCCGAGAACAAAGGCAGCGACAAGAATGGAGGAGCTCCGGCGGCAGGCGGCAGCCAAGTGCCGCCGCCCCAATACATCATAACCACGCCCAGCGAGGTGGACGCCGATGAGGTGAGATCGATGGCCGACTTGGAGCTCAGCTCGCCCAGCGATGACAATGTCTTTGTCGTGGGCGAGCACCAGCAGATGCTGCTGCAGCAGCAGCAGCAGACGAAGCTAATGCACACACAGAAATACAGCCAGACGTCGAGCACGTCGAGCACCAGCAGCAAGTTGGCGACACGCTCCTATTCCGTGACCAGCAGCAGCAGCAGCAGTGCTGCTGCCACCGCCGCTGCCGCTGCCGCCGCCGCCGCCACCACAGCCACAGCCACAGCCGCAACGACCATACAGCACAGCCAGCAGAAGATCATGTCGAGCAGCACGCGCAGCCAGAGCCTGCAGTCGAGCGCCATTGTGGGCGAGCAGAGCGGCCATCTGCTGAGCACGGCAGCGGCGCTGGCGCAGCAGCTGAAGGCGCAGTCGTCCACCTCGATAATTACCAGCGAGCAGCGCAGCAGCAGCAGCACCAGCAGCAGCACCACCCGGTACGTCAGCTCCACCACACAGGGCACCAGCAGCACCACCGGCGTCAGCAAGTCCAAGTTCCAAAGCTTCCTGCAGCAGCCGGAGGCGCACGGCTTTCTCACGGCCCACCAGAAGCACGTCCGTCAATTTGTGCGCTCCACCTCCGCCCACTCGGAGGCGGCGGCGAGCGTTACGCCCGTGAGCGGCGCTCGGCCAGAGAAGTGCATACGCAGCGCCTCCACGCAGATCGATGATGCGTCGGCGGCCAGCGGCGATGCCGAGACCGGCATACAGATGTCCATGTCCAAGCTGGGACTGCAGCAGTCCTCCTCGATCCTCATATCCAAGTCGGCCGAGACCATCGAGATGAAGAGCAGCTCCTCGTCGGCGGGCATGCGCACCCAGCTAACGCTCAGCGGCGGCTTCCTGGCGCCGCCCAATCGCAAGATCACCATACTAAGCCCCATCCATGCCCCGCCGGGCCTCCACGACATGCTCAAGCGACCCGGACGCTCGCCCCTGTCGCCGCGCATCAGCTTCCCGGGCAGCGAGGCGGATCTCTTTGGGTAAGTTTGAAAGGCATTCGCAAATGCCAGACGAAATCTTTCGGAACATTTCATGAAACTTCTTCATACGATCTGATCACACTGAAATTTTGGGAGAATTCTAGGGAAACTTTATGTTGTCTGAGAAGAAATAGATTACCTTTAACTATATCGATGAAAACAAAGATGTCGCTATTCGTCTTATAGGGGAACTCTCTGATTCTATGCTAGCGTCAATCTTATAGAATACATATATCAAACATATACCATAGATGTCATATTTACTCCTATGAAGGACTTTAGAACATCAATCTTGTAGATGATAGATAAATAGATAGCAGATAGATGGTACCTTCAATCCAGTGAAATATATCTCAAAAGATAACTGTAATCTGGTAGAGTATATCAATGATCCTATCAATTAAAAGTAATTTTAGATCCCAAAAAGGGTAGAAGGTATCGTTTGACATCCTATCAATGGTAAATGATGCTTTCAAAGCTTTGGAAAACATATAAAATACTATAAATTCAGAATGTTTTGCCTTCAAGTCTATAAGATAATATCTAAGATACTGGCAAGCCGTTGTATACATAAGAAGATCTCAGATTGTATTAATTAAAGATGTACCAGTCTTGTAGAAGACGTCTTAGATTATATCAATTAGTACTACTGAATTCATTTAAGATCCTATCAATTATAGATTTTACCCTCAATCTTGTAGTAAACATCTATTACATATGGCTGTTATCTTTCGTCTCATGGAAAACATTTAAGATCTTCTCAGTTATAGATGGTCTTTAGTCTTAAATCTGCAGCTCCAAATGCTAAAGCTTTCTATCCATATGGCAGTTAACACTTCAGTTTTCTCTTTAAATCACACTCAGACCGAGGAAAAAAATCTCATCCTAAACAACAAATTCTGCCTTTGGGTTACATAAGGCTTGCCTTTCTAATGCCATTTAAAATGTGATAAAATCAGATGATTTATAACAAAAGTTGTTCAAGTGTGTGCGGAGCGGAAGAAGAAGAGAGTTAATGTGAGTGTGAGTGTGATAGTCAGTGTGAGTGTGTGAGTGTGCGCATATTTCATGATATGTATATGTGCGTGTTTAGAGATAAGTTACAAAGGCCTCAAAAGAGCAATGCGATACAGGTTGTCTGTTACTCTTAATTGCCACCTGCTTGCCTCTGAAATAGATTTATTCACGTTATACTAGGTAAAGCTGACAGAGACAAACTTAGGATTTCACATTTTTCTGGCAGCCATTGTGAACCATAATATCATAATATCAATATATAGATATATTTTCCAAAAACTAATAGATATATATCGGACTATTTTTTCCCAAATATCGATTATTTTGCGATATTTTGATGCTCCTGTAATACGTGATCCAATTGCGAATGTACAGAAATTGAATATGGTGAAAACGTATTATCTTGAATTGATTAATGGAAAACAAGCTCTATAATGCTTTTAAGTACCGAATACTGAAGTTAAGCGGATTTTTTCATTTAAATAAAAAATATATTTACTCTTATTATTTCTCCATTTTGAGATGCATTATAAATTTTTTGTGGGAAAAAAATTTATTTCATAAATATATCGATAAATATTGATATATCGATATTTTTATGTGTCGTTTGTTATTTCACACTAAAATCTCGATATATCAATATTTATCATATATTTTTATCAATGTTTTTCAAATATCGTATCGATGATATTTTAGGTTTTGAAAAATATCAATATGAAAAAATCTATAAATATTGATATAGCGATATTTTAAAGTGCCGTTTGATATGTCACAGTAAAATCTCGATATATCACTATTTATCAATTTTTATTTCATATTAATATTTTTACATAATCTAAAATATCATCAAGACGATATTTTAATAAAAATATTCGACAACCCTAGACATTACCACATTACATTGCGCGGGCAGCAGGAGGCGGCGGCAGTGCAGCTGCCCTTACATATATATATTATATATATATATATATACATATCTGGGATTTTATGTAATATTAATATATATAATTAAACAGCACATGCATGTAGCACCGCAGGCGAAACAAAAACACACACACACACACGCATAAAAAATTAAAAAAAAAAATTGTATTTGTTTAAACTTAATGCAAGGGCAACTCAAACACTAATTAGCCATTTCGTGGAAATGCAATATGCGAGAATGTCGAAAGGTCACATTAAATGCAGATAGATTATGTTTCCGGGAAATGCTGCGGGCATAGAAGCTTAAATTGTTATACTAAAAAAAACCCAAATAAAAGGAAAAGTTACTTAGTTAAATTTGCCGTTGACGTGTTTAACGCTTGAATAATTTTTGACACCGAATCGCTTAACAACAGCAGCAGCAACAACAACAACAATATGGACAACAACAACAACTTGTTGATTAACAACATCGTCGTCGAGCGGGCTGCATTCCTCGCAGCGAGCCCGGCTAATGAGCATGTTTATATCCACATCCGCATCCGCATTCGCATCCGTGTCCGGGCTCTCGGGTTCGGTTGCCCGGATCCTTGACGGAATTTGGGTTTCGTTTTGTTTTTATTTGCTCGCATTTCTTGTTTTTGTAAAATGCTCATCTCGTGTTGTTAATTGTTATTTTGGCTGCGGGACAAGTCGCGTATACGCACCGTGTGCGCTCCAAATGTCATTCGGCTGCTTCGACAGTTGCCAGCTGTCAGCGCACCGCCCGCCCACACCTGCCACCCTGCCACCCCTGCCGCCCGGTTCGCTGTCAAAATGCCAAAAATGTTTGTCATAGTCGTATAATTAAATTTAAATGTTCTCGCTCGAGTCGTGACAACAACACAAACAGAATGAGGAACAGAGAGGGCGGGAGAGAGAGAGACAGAGAGGGGGGCTGGGAGTGGGAGAGAGGCTAACCTATACTAGGCCTTAGCCACGTTAATTGCAAGCTACAAATTATGACAATTCTCAGCGCACGCATAATTAAAGGGCAAACGGCAACCTTTGCGAAAATGTTTCGTTCGTTTCAAAAATAACATGAAATTCAAAAAAAAAAAAAAAATTTCAAATAAAAATAAAATGCTATCGAGTGAAAAGTGAAACGAAATACGATTTGGCCGTCAGCGTTTGACAAAACTTAATTAAACACCTGTCAGCCGCGCAGCTCGCGTCTGTTTGCCCTGGCTATTTATATTTGAATACGTTATTATACGCCGCATTGATCCACATATAAATAGCACAATTTTTGCCCTGGAATTCTGTGTGCACTGGTCGAGGCGGCCGCAGCGGCAGCGCAGCGAATTCATATTTAAATAAATAAATTAAAACGCGCCGACCCCTCGCTGCTGTTGGCCGTGCCAATAGCTCACTTATTGTCGGCTTAAATGTATGGCATATGGCTTATAGCAAATTTGAATAACACACACGCACACACACACACACACACACACACGCCCAAGCTCGCTCTTTTCTTTTTTATGCACTGCACATTTCTGCATTGGCCGAGGCTTAATTCGAATTAAAATTATATAAATATGTGCGAAAAAATTGTGCAAACGAAATGTCATACAGCAATTAGAGACGGTCGGGTAGATCTGGGTAGAGCTGGAATGCCCTAAGTAGATCAAAAAATTACCAAAGATATCATATTAAAAAAAAAAATTATAAAAATCTTTGCAATTTATATATGTATGTATTTGAAATTTAAAAATTTTTTTTTTTTTTTTTTTGCAATAATAAAAATTTGACAAATTAGACTGCTCTATCTGAGACTGATATTCCAAATCTTCTGAAGCAAGCGCGGTATCCAATATCTAAAAATTATATAATCTTTGTATTGCATGAATCTACACAGTAAATCTCTAATCCCTAGCTCTAACGGTATTCAAGTTAGGTCTAAGGAAAGCATAAGGAAAATATGATAAATTTCCATACTCTTGCTCATATAACTAACGGTATCTCAGTGAACGGACAGACAGACCTGACTTTATGGACTCAGCGCGACATCCTGAAGAAGAATATATATACTTTATGTGCTCTGCCACGCCTACTTCGGCCTGTTTCATACATTTTCCTAAAACTATTATGCCCTGATTTTCCATTTCTCAATGAGTTCAGAGTGTAAAAAAAAACTCTTAAGCTCTCTCAGTTTCCGGATTAAATAAAAACTCTGGTATTTACACACAAGCTTATAATGAAAACTCATGAAGAGGAAAACAAATGATAAGAGAAAATTTAAACTTAAAAAAAAAAATTGAAAAAAAAAATACAAAATTAAGTTTTCAGTTTGAATAAAACTCGAAAGTTAAGTTTAGAAAATTTTCAATTTTAATTTCATACTAAATACAATTTTTATTTACTTTTTCTCTTGAAAATGGATTACATAGTTGAGTAAAAAAAATAACTCTAAAACTTGGATTCTAGCTGAAGAAAAAATGTGAAAAGCTAGTCTTTATGAAAAGATATGACGGTAAAATATGTAGATATCCAATCCATTCTACATTCTACCTATATTCATGTAGCAATTCTATGTATTTATATGTGTTTAAATTTCAAGTATTATATTATATGATACAAAGTATAGAACCCTCTCCATTACATATATACTTCTTGCCGATTTGCCACGCCTCCAGTGAGCAAGCCTATATTCCATATAGATCTGATGCCTTTTATGAGACATTTCCAATGTCTGTAAGAAGCTCACGATTCTCAGCTCTCTCACTTAATACTAAATACAATTCAATCCATTAAATTCGTAAAATCCCACTTCTGTTTCTATACTGAATATGGATTTTTTGCCAACGACAAATTTGTTTGACATGAAAAACGTGTTTACATTTGTGCAAAAAATCATTGCATAAATCATAAAACAACATTAACACGTACTTCAATTAACTAATTAATGCAGATTAATGGTCAATTAAGTGGAAATCGTGCAGCTCGACTGTAACCAATGAAGTCTGTATATATTTACCGATGGTCAAGCAATGAGTCGTATGGGAAGGGGATTAGCTGCCATGCAATGCACATTGAGAAAAAATATCGATAGCGATAAGAGGATAATGGTTCGAATTACCAATAGATATTACGTTGGGTGTTTTTGTTGACTAATAAACTGGAATTAAAATTGTAAAGTTTTAATTCAATGATGTATTAATTGATTATATGAGGTCAGCGCGACGGACAGACGAGCGCATAGACCGATGAATTGGCGGACGGATGAATGGACGGATAGATGAACAAACGGATTGTGGAGGGACGTATAGACAGTCGAATTTACGGACGAACGCACGAACGAACAGAGGAAGAGAAAAATGGATAGACGAACGGATAGACCAACGAATGAACGGACGTATAGACGGACGAATTGACAGACCAACGGATGGACGAATGAACGAACGATAAGACCGATGGATGGACGAACGGATAAACAGACGGATTAGCACGCGAATGAGCCCTCTAATGGTCGGACGGACACATGGACAGAAGATCGGAGCCACGAGAAAAAGGGTAGGACGAATGAGTGAATGAACGGAAAGTTGGACAGGCGAATGAACACAAGAATGAAAACACGGACGGATAGTCAAACAGTCGGACGGACACATGGGCGGAAGATCGGAATAACGGTAGAACGAACGAAGGCATAAACGAACGGATAAACGGAAGTATGAACAGAAGAACGGAATGACAGACGGATGAATGGACGGACAGACAGACGAACGAATAGATAAACGGACATAAGGAAAGTGGGACGGATAGATGGACAGCCAGACGAATGGATAGATGAACAGGACGCTCGGAAAAACAGTGAAAAAGAGAAACAAACGGATGAGCAGACAGAATTACGGATAGACGGACGGACAGGCGGAGTGAAGGACTGAAGGGCATGGCTAAATCTACTTAGCTTATCGCTCGGCTCCATTGAGGGTATTGATATCTAATATTTTTCGCAACTAAATCTGAATAAGAGTTTTAGTTTTTGCTTTCAAGTGAGGCGGCATATGTGTGGAATAAGAGTGAATAGCTAATTAACGGGTTGCGTGGGTGGGGAGCAGGTGCAGTTAATTAGTTCAATTAGCTGAGGGCATTGAGAGGGTTTCCCCTGCAGTCTCATTGAGCTGCTGCTGCAAAATGCATTCTATGCGCTGACCTCTGCCACTCAATTAACATGCCATACTAGGAACTAATGAACTCTCCGGCTCCACAGCTCTCCAGCTCTCCAGCTCTCTAGCTCTCTAGCTCTCTCGCGCTGCTGCTCTTATTTTCGCTTTATGGCGCATTCCATGAGCTGCGCATATAAACATTCCGGTGGCTTTGTTAACATGAATTTCGACGTTAACTATTCGATGTTGGCTTTAAATTCCACCACGACCAGCAGGCAGCCAAACACTCAGTCGAGAGCAGGCCGAGCGACCCCCATCACGCATTTCGGGCCCAACTCTCAGAATGTGCACATAAATCTCTTAAAGCCAAGGGCTCAACTTTTGCGCTTTATGTATGCGTGACTTATGTTTACAGTTTATTTATTATTTAAAACATAACAGACAAATGGGCCCAGGCACAACAAAGATATAAATAATTTTTAAAGAACGAGAGAGAGAGAGAGATGGAGAGAGGGAGAGACGGGGAGAGAGAGTGCGCACACCTCTGGGGATAGCTTGCTGTGGGATACTTTCCGACATTCACTTTGACTTGGACTCCATTTATATATGTCCAAGTATTTTCCAATACCCCGCGCCCCGCCAGCATTGGGCACTTCTAATGCCACATTAAACTGAGCAGCTAAAGGCGTTTGGGGAGCTCGATTAGAGGCCAAGCGGAAGCGGCAGCGGCAGCGGCAGCGGCAGCTCGCCTTGAACTTCGTCCGATGACAAAACAGGCGCAAACAAAGGAAATACTCAAAGATGCGGGCGGGTCTGGCCAACACGGCAAAGGTGACAAGAGGGGAGGGGGGTGTAATGGGGACTGGTGCTAGGCTTACGAAGGAAACAAAATGAAAAAAAATGAAAACGAAAACGAAAAACCCTTTTAAGATAGCGAGCCACAGCGCGCGTGCCTCTTCGTTTGCATACTTTTTCGGCGATAATGAAGGCAGCCGAATAACTGAGCGCTGTGGGCGTGGCAGCGCAACTTGCCAGCGATAGCCAGTCCACCCTCACCAAGAGAAAGTTTTGTGTGTCGCCTCAATTAACTGAGCCACAAAATAGAAATTTTCGCACCAAATATAGGAAAAGAAAAATCAAAATAAAAATAAAAATAAATATGTATAAAATATATATAAATATATATGTATATATTTTAGAGATTTTTATAGAGCTGTTGGCCTATTTATAGCTGCCACTTGCTGGTCTTTGAAGGTCAAGACCTTTTAGTCCGATTTTTATTGAGTGATTATTGGGGTTTATCTCTTGCTTGGGGCCTCTTGCCAAATCTGTCCGAAATAAGCTGAAAACAAATAGTTTATATGCATATAAAAACTTGAGCTAACATAAAGTTAACATAAGCATCTGTTAAATGGCAGCAGGTGATAAATTCTCATTTAGATAAGGATTATAAAGACCACTACTGAATTGCTTGGGGGCAGGGAAAAAAACGTAAACATTGCGCATACGCCATGTGACACAAAAGCTAAACAGTTGCAAATCTTAACTAATTGGGTTGTGAGCATGCTAAGTGTTTGGGTGTGAGAGAGAGAGAGAGAGAGACCGAGTTAATAAGATAAAAATATAAAGAGCAAAACAGAGAGAGAAAGAGGTAGAGCGCGGTAGAGGTAGAGCGCGAGCTGGCAAAAGATTTATGCGCTTCAGGGCCTCGCGCTTGCGGGCAAAACAGCCACAAAATATGCAACACCGAGCTGCACGTGAAAGGCCGGATGGACTGGCGGACGGACAGACAGACGGACGGATGAACGACGCACAAACGTAGCCGTTGAAGTAGCTTCAATAATGTCACAAAGCACGCAAAGAAAAAAGTGAAAGCAAATATATAAAAGGAATTAGAAAATAAATTACAAGTCGAGTAAGCGCGACTCATGAATACCCGGTACATAAAATAAAAATTTAAAATTATAGATATTGTAAAGAAATCCAATTAAATTTAATTATACTTAAGCTTCTGCTTAGAAATAGCCTAAAAAGAAATATTTAAGAAAAAAAATATCTTAAATTGAGTTGAGCTGCGACTAGTGAATACCCGGTACATAAATCCACTAAAACTAGCATATTTAGTATTATAATTAGAAAGATATTATTATATGGTAGATAGCCCTAACAAGATTTAGTTCGATTTGCATATCTGATTGAATAAAATGCCCAAGAAAACTTTGACTAATAAATTCCAAGTTTAGCTCAAGCGCGACTAGTGAATACCCGGCATATAAAATTGTCAACAACTCTTTAATATGTGTATATAGCTGACAAACTCAACGAGATGTTCATATTTAATCATCAGGCTTGAGGAAATCACGTTAGCCTTTTTTTTTTTTTCTCGATGGCCTTCACAAAGCCCTTTTTAATCATGCTTAATGGATTCAAGGTATTCCAAGGAAAATCAAATCAAACATTTATCAGGAAAAAACAAGTCAAGCTCAATGCTTAGCTGCCTATGTCTGTCGGCTGCTTGGGTGGTTGGGTGGGTTCGCTAGGCTGAGTGGATAAGCTGAGCAAATCGAGTGGCAGCTGCCGTGCGATTTGTGCCAACAAAGGGCCGGACGAGCATCGTCTTTGCTTAGCCACTCGAGCCACTCATGTTTCCAATTAGATAATGCATAAATTAATGCGAATTGGAGCGCTCAACAAGCAGCTCAAATAGCTCGACATTTTTAATCAAAGCAGAAGAATTTATATGCCTCAAGTTGAGCGAAATATTGTGCGCAGTCTATGAGCTTTTGGAGCTTTTCACCACGGCCAGCTTTCGCTGGATGTGCAGCTTTTTGAAAGCTTTCTGGCAAATGCAGCATTAAGCTTTCAGTTGCTGCGGGTCAGGAATTGCTAAGAAAGCTTTTGAAAGCTTACGTGCAACAGAGGTTTGCCTGGTGCTTTGCATGCTTCTGCAACTTAAAAAGCTAAAAAGTTCCTTTGGCGCTCGCACTTTTGGGTGAGAAACAAAGAGAAAGCTTAAGTGGAACTAGAAACCAAATTTTACTTATGTATGTTAAGATATATACCATTATAATCTGTAGTTGTTTAAAAAAAATTCAAAAAAAAAAAAAAAACAAATTATTTCATTCTGTATTGATAAATAAATATAGAAGTATACCCATAAGAGTATATAAATAAATGCTATATGATTATTATATATTGTTTATTTTATTTTTATATTTATTTCGAGTCAATTTAAGCTCTTCTGGAAGATCTCAAAAGCTATGCAAATCGTATAAGCTTTGAACTTGGTCCTTAAAGGCAAAAGCTTAAGGATTATGCATATTTAACATATATATCTATAAGCAATATCTTACCCTGGAGCTCGTTTTATGAAGGTAGAAAATCATCAAATTCGAATAAGATAAAGCTATAAACCTATATACAAAATATATACATATAGAGACAAGTTCATAAAAAAAAATTCATAAACATTTATTATTCTATTGGAGATTAATATTGATCTAAAATTAAGACTAACTTAAGATCTAAGCACTGAGAACTAGGGTCTACATGTATGTATATAAAATATCCACACTTTAAGCACAGTTCTCTCATTATCGAACTTTAAAGTAGTAGAAATACATACATATATGTGAAACCCCTCTGGCCAATGATTCCAATTCAGATCTTCTGATCTTTGATCTTTGAGATGTGGCTCAAAGTTGTATGTAATAAAGTCGCTGCTCTACCGAAACAATATACAAATTACAAAAGATAGAGTTGCCACTAGATATGATAATCCTAGACTTATATACCTTAGATAATAACTCATCTTAAATATCCAAACTAAGAACTAATATTTGATCGTATCTTCTTTTTACAGGTAAGTTAAAGACAAGCTCGCCCTTAAATCTTACTCTGATTGAAGCTGGTAAGCAAATGACATATGAATATGACTACGAATATCACTATGAATACATATATGAATGGAACTACGAATATATCTATGAATCTGAGTGTGAATATAAGTGAATATACGACTAAGGTATAGCCATAGAGAGTTCGGAATCATGAGATTCAAATGAATTCATGAAAAGAACTTTGAGTATACGCAACATGGGCGTTACCTAACAACACCATTTTGAGGTCCAGCCAGAGCTGGGCCCAGCCCGTCGATCGGAGGGAGGCAAAAGCGTTAAACAAGCAGCAACACGTTGAAGCTTGGAATTTGTTTCGCTTTTTCAGCTATTTTCTGATTAACTTTGGAGGCGTTTTGCACAACAGCTGCTTGTCGACTACCCACAAAGAAGGGGCGTGGTGCGGCGGGCGTGTCTGTTGGGGGCAGCAACGGCGCCCGGGCCCCAAGCTGTGGCCGTTTCTCTTATCAAGTGCAACAAGCACAAAGCGATGCAAAAATAAAAATAAAACAAAAATAAAATAAAGAAAATAAATAAATGAGAAAAATATTTTGAAACGTATGCAATTTGCTGGCTGGGCTGCCTGTCGGCCACGCCCACCCGCTGGGCGTGCAGCAACTGCAGTCGCGTTTACTCTGCGCCAGGGCCATGATAAACATGTATGCACACAGACACAGAGAGAGAGAGGGAGAAGAGTGAAGGGGAGGGAGTGAGTGTGCGAGAGGTGAGAGCAAATCTTAAAATGTGAAAAAAAGCTAGTGAGATTGATTTAGCTGCAAGACTAGAATATACCCTAGAAGCCCTAAGAAGCCTAAGTCTAAGTGGAAAGAGCAAAGGAAAGGAGATTCAAGGAAAGAGAAAGAAACAGAAAAAGGAAAGAGAAAGACAATGGGTTCTCATCTTTAATGAGCTATATAAGGAATATGCATTTCATATTGGAAATCTTCAGCCTCTGTAGATGAACAGAGCTACTTTGTCTCATTGCTTCTTCATTCTAGCACCTCCCAGGACTCCTTCTGCCTCCTGCAAACATTTGCATGCAAGCGATATACCCTGAATTTGCATTTGCAATGCGTACAGGGCATAAAAAAAACCAAAGTTCAAAGTGCAGGAAATTGAAAGCATTAAAAATAAACGAAAGCCAGTAGAAAGAGTTGCTTCGTGAAAACGCCAATGCCCAAATACCCTATAAAGTAAGCCCAACAGCTTCAGTCGTTCAGTGAAATGGGAGAATATATAGATTAGATCTATATAGATACATATATGTATATAGATATATACATTCATTATAGTTATACAAATTTTCATTTATATGTACATTCACGAACTTACCTGCTAGCTACACATTACAGGGTATCATTGCTTAGAGTGCTCTTAATTACATCTATATACATATATCAATACTTGTTCACATTTACAACTATTTTGATTTGCTTAACTAAAAATACTCAAAGGACTCATTCGAAATGGGAGGACAGGGTATATTAGTTCTGTGTAAACATATGTAAGGTACAGAAGGAGGCGTGACGGAACCCATAAGCTATAAATATTTACTAGATTTCAGCCTAGTTGATCTCGCCTGAATCTCTGTGGAAACCTCAAATAATATCAAATCGATAATCAAATAAAATCGATAAAAAGCATCAAATTTCAGTTGTATATACCCAATAAAAATAGAAAATCGGCCTATATTAGCATGACAGCGGGGCATCTCCGAGTCAGGTGCACTCCTCGAGTGCCTTCTCATTCACCTAGTGCATAGAGTATATTAGTTTTCTGGCAATTTCCAGTTAGCTACGGCTAAACACTTCATGCGTATAATCGTCTTATAAACTGTTAAGATGCCTTCCATGCGCCCACTGTAGGCGTGGCTCATCCTCATACATCAACATCGAGGCAAAGTTTTCGGTGCATAAACTTAAATGTTTTCGGACAATGAACGAGTATTATGCAGTCTTGTGTGGGTCGGTCTGCTTTATCATCTAGTACAGCTGTAAAGCGTGTGCCTCCTGGGTGCCATTTTCCATTCATTATTTAGTTGTTTTTCCCTTCGCTGTAGCTGTTGTTGTTGTTGTTGTTGTTGATTGTGCTTTATAAAAGCACAAAGCAAGCAGCAGAGTAAAAAGTTAAAATATAGAAAACAAAGAAGAGGTAAAATGAGCACAGCGTTTCTTGAATACTCTTCTGAAATCTGGAACTAAGCGGACTATCGATACTAGTAGCGATAATCGATAAATAATGGTTAACTATTTGTACACATATAGTTTTCTAGTTGAGCTGCAGAAGAAATGAATCTATCTTACTTCTAGTTATCGATAATATATCGCTAAATGTATATTCAAGCTCGTAAATGAGGAGCTACTATTGATAAAATCAGTCGATAGGCAGCTATCGATATTCATGTGTTGATATCATCTAAAAAAATATCAGTATTTGATACTCAAACATCGATAGTCATCTAAATATAATATTTTATTAATATAGGTAAAAATATATATTTTTTACGGTTAATTATCGATACTCATCTGTCAATAGGCACCTGTAAATACTCGTATTCTATATTCACCTATCTGAACACTTATTCCATATACTTCTACTGACACTTAACAATCGATACTTGTCTATCGATAGTCATCTATTAATACCAAACGATACTTGGGTATAGGTATTGCATTGTTTATACTCACCTGTCGATATTCATATAACAATACTCATCCAGCAACGCCCATCTATAACAGTACTCATCTACTAATACTCATATATCGATATTAATCTATTTAATGTCAAAGTAAACGATTTGCAAAGTTTATCTGTAACTATGCAACCTATCGCTACCGATATGCACACTTATCCACTATATAGAACTCTTCTGCTATGCTTTAGAGCTTAGGAAACAGAAAGTAACCCATGAAATGTTGTAAGCTTATCAATATATCGCATATATATCGCTTCAGCATATGTACTTTATTATGATTTTCTAGTATCTCATCAAATAACTTCCTAATACGTTCAACTCAATGTAAATTCGCTTAGATCCTTAGAGGTCGGCAGTGTAGATGGGTCCAAGAGCGAACCGCAGGCTCATCTTGACAGATCTTAGCAGTTGGGCGGCTTTATGCAAATGATGGCAGAGGGTAATGCTGCCGGTAGTGCTGCCGGTGCTGCTGCCGGTGCACACCTGGAAAGTGACAAGACCGCCCAGCTAGGGGCAATAAAACGTAAACGAAAACGCAGCCGGAAAATGGAAGCTGGTGGCTGTTAGGCCAGGTGTGGCCTCTAGCCCAGCTACAGCTACAGCTGGACCATAAAAAATGTTTGCCATCGCCGAGCAAATATCAGCGCATCCAATTGCGTATTGTTGTTGTTGTTGCTGTTGTTGCTGGCAATTTTCATTTAAGACAAGTGGCCCGCTGATGGATAACTCACGGGGCCTCGAGTAACAGGCGCCGGATAATTGCAATGCGAACCGAGTCGAGCGTCAGGGTCGCCGGGGTCTCTCGCACTTTGTGTACGGCTGTTTATTGGATTGCCGCCAGCCTGGCCGGGCCAAGAAATTTGAAACTTTCCGGACGGACGATGCTGCCGGTGCTGGACCAAAAACACCTGACGCACCTGAGCCGAGCTCAAGTGGCCAATAACGAAGAAAATGTCAGCCAACTGCAACGGCTGTCAGTTCGTAGCTGGGCTCACTTGCCATTAAAGCTGAAGCCTCACGAAATTCGCGTGACTTGTGGCTTGGGGATTCTTGGAGGCGAGGCGGCAGCGAGGGCGGACGGCGACAGGAAACAGCTTTGGCATTGGGGTTACGTTAGGGGTCGGGGTTGGGATTCGTATTGGGATTCAGGCTGTGGCAGGGCAAGCGAACGGTGCTCAGTCAGAGTTTGTAATTACACCAGCTAAACTCAATTGGCTCTGGGTGCATTTAAATGCTATTCTTCATGATGCTGCTATTATTACAGCTGTAGTATCTAGAATGAGGCTATTTGACTGAGTGGCTATACATATACGGATATAGGCTAATGCAAGCGGATGTGGGAATAGAGATTACGTTGACAATAGTAGTCAGTGGGTCGTATTCATGATGGGGAGTCCTCGGTGCTCAGATATTGGAGTCTATTGTAAACGAGATTCCCCATCGAATACTGCTCTCGCTCCAGTTATATATCATATATGAGATAATCAAATTATATACGATATTGTAATCGAAAATAAATTGTGGAATCAAAAATCTCTGGAAGTCTCTCTCTCTCTCTCTCTCTCTCTCTCTCTCTCTCTCTCTCTCTCTCTCTCTCTATCTCTCTACCTCTCTCTCTTTCTCTTTCTCTCTCTCTCTCTCTCGCTCTCTCTTTCTCTCTCTTTCTCTCTCTCTCTCGGACTGAGCCTTCGAGCGACCATCCGCCTGACCGACTAACAGTTGGACTGACCCTCTGACAGGCTGTACAGCTAAACGTCTTTCCGCACGTCTACATGTACTTCCGCCTGCCCCTCTGCCCATTCGCCTTTCCGCTTGTCATAAACAAAAAGTATTAGTATGCTCGTTCTCTACATCGTCGATAGTTTTGCTCATTCTGCTCTCATACTTTGTTTTCTCAACCAGCTCTCCTTCGAGAGGAACTACTACGACAGCCTACCGACCACATCGGAACTTCAACATTAAGTCGGAAATTCCATATCTAATTGTTCTCTTATGTTAGGAAATCTACCAATAAGACTAGGCTTATCACTGACTCAGCATCCTTAGTCATGAATCATTCATATGTAAAGTAAACGGAGAAAATGTATTCCTCTTGCAGACACTAGTAGACTTTCCATATACCCATACACCATATACCTCATATACCCCATATACCCTTATACTGAATCGATATGTGATTGATCCTTAATCAGAACAGATATGATTAGATTTCGTCAGAAAAAGAATAACGCCTAGTTAAGTTAAGGTATTTTAATGTGGTTAATCCTTGATCAGAACAGATCTAATTCAATTTTCTGATACGAAAATATCGATTAAAATATCAATTAGCTTAGATGCTTCATTCCCTCCCGGTGCTGACTCCCACAGACAATACAGTAATATTCATCAAAGGTGTTCTTATCTGATTAATCCTTAATTAATTAATCCTTAATCAGAACAGATTTGATCAGATTTTGCTATAAGTAGATGAATCCAATGTCAATTGGAATACTAATTGGTTAAGTTAACTTCCGTTGAGGTATCCTAATACTATTAAGTGATTAAGCCTTAATCAAAATAGAGCTGATCCGATTTCTTCAATTAGAATAGGATTCTACTGGGATTTAGTGGAGTTGCTGTATTCCCCGGGGCAGCATTTAACGTCCATTTCTAGCATTTGTTATGCCAAGACGAGAACCAGCCAGCCAAACGACCCAGCGACCGACCGACCAACCTCCGAGTACTTGACCCCGAATCGACGTTCTCCATTGCAAGTGCAAAGCCAAAGGCAAAGGGAGGTGACGGGGGGCT